CGATCTGCTGCCGATTGCAACCTCTACATTTGGGGCGTTTTTGAGAAGTTCATTATTCCGGCTGGCGGCGAGGGGGCTGGGACAATGGAAACTTTTTGGCAAGTGATGTATTGGTCTTTCAACATTCTTTACACCGGTAAATGGCCTGCTCGGGATTGGCAAGGCAAGAAGCAGCCTGGTGTGTTGTTGTATATGTACACATGTGCCAGAAATCTGGAAACCCTTACATTTTAGGACCCTGTGGGAACCCTATAAGCTGTAAGCCTTTTTGTCTTTCTTGATTTTTTATGATGTGGGTCCTGTTTTAGATATGTGACTATATACATACACACCCTATGTATGAGAGCCCTGTTCTCAAATCCAACCCTAACCCAACAGCTTCCTTGATGGTGATGATATATATATATATATATACACAGTATATAATATCGTATAAACATATATAAGCCACAAAACCACGGACCCGTGGAATCCCAAAGCAGCACGAACCGGATGTGAGAAAAATCACCACACAGTATACGTAAAAAACCCTCTCACCACATGTAGATATATATATGTAGATATATATGAACCTGTCTCACAAGTAAGAAAATGTTTGTTACACGGCACAGAGGTATGGGGCCAGTACAAAGGAGGGCGAACGAGCGGGAACCGACCTATGCGGAGGATATTATGGTGTCCTGGTTCAAATGGCTGGCGACTTGGATTATTATGCGAAATGGCTGGAGGTTCCACGATGGAGCAATCACAGCAAACCTTGTGCTCTTTGTCGGGCCGCCTTCAAAGGACCACTAACATGGATGGACAATCGTGCAAATTCGCCGTGGCAAGCCTCGTGCCTCACCACCACCAACTGGAGATCCCACTGGAATCCATCATGCCAGCTGTATTCTTTACCTGGCTTTTCGGGACTTTGTATCACGATGGACTATATGCATTGTATGTTTTTGGGGTGGATACAGTTTTTTTATGGCTCCGTGCTCAGCATCGTGGTCCACGATTGTTTGGGTGGGAGTATCTTGGCGAATTTGAAATACTGCGACTCCTTCATCAAGAAGTACCAGCGAGACAACGAAACCAGATACACATTCCGCCAGCGACTTCTGAAACTTACAATGATACAACCAAAAAAAGGATTCCCCAAGATGAGAGGAAGAGCTTCCGATATTCAATCTTTGGACAGTGCAATTCTTGCTCTATTCGAAGAGCAAATGGACGAGGGTATCTATCAACACAAGCAAATCCGGCTCTTTTTGCGGTTGAACCTGCAGCTGGCTGAAATATTGGAAGCTTATGGGCCACGGTACGGCTTCTTGGCTTTACCTGAGGAGCAAGCAAACCTGGCTTTCAAGCTCGGTTGCCAAATGGCACAGCTCCACAGCAGCCTGCAAGCCCACTACAAAGGGACGGGGGAGAAGCTCTTCAATCTCACAAGTAAGACCCACTTCGTTTTGCATAGTCTCCTACTCAGCAGTTTTATTCATCCGTCGATGGTCTGGTGCTACAAGGGAGAGACGACGATGCATCGCCTGCAGATTCTATGGAAGAGTTGTTTGGCAGGGGTGAAGCACTGGCATGCTTCCAAAAAGGCTGCCCTCAAAGAGAGGCACCTTTTGTTTCTGCGGGGCAAAGTTGGGCGATCGTGAGAGCTTCTTTCTTTTCTGTCGCGAAAAAAAAGAGTGTCTCTCTGCTATATGTGGTGCTCCTGGTCTTTTGTTTGGGCTTTTGAATCACAGTTGTCGTATATACTGGTGTGGATCTTATAAGCAATCTGCATGGATTCTCTTTGGTTAGTTTATGGCTTTGGGCCTGCGAATTTTCGGAAAAGTCCTTACTTCTGCTGTGGATCCTTTACATGTGGTGTCTGCGATTGCAGAGCAAAACAAACTCATGCCGGTGATTTTTTTAAATCCTTTACATGTGGTGTCTAAGTTTGCAGCCGCAAATATGAGTTCCATGTTTGTGTTTGCATAATGTTTTTATGTGTTTTGTCATGTTTTTAGCTCACCAGAAAATTTACGTAAATTTGGTCATTTTACACTAAATCCTTCGTTTACAGTAAATCAAGCCAAAGTGTAAAATTAGGTAAACAGCAGACTCAGGGTAGTTCGAGGTCCACACAAAAGATGGGCCCACAAGGCTGGGAGCCTGGCGTTGGACGACAACTCTACCCAGGGACTCCAATATCCCTTAATTAAGGAATATTCCTTAAATCGTGTTAGGGATCCTACTATAATTTAAGGTATATTCCTTAATTAAGGGATATTGGAGTCTCTGGGTAGCCGACTCCTGCAACTGCAAGGCTGCTGCGCTCCGAGATCTCGGCCAGCTTCCACCCCCCAACGGCCCACCCCCGCCCATGCCCATGGCTGCAGGTAGCATGCGGTGCAACAAGTCACACGGCACAACCGGAATGCAGGGCAGCGCGCGTCAGGGAGGCGCCCCCCCCCCTCCCGGGCGGGATAGGGGCCTAGCGCAGGGCAGCCGGGGTTCGGAATAGTCACTCTTGAAACGGAGGCCGAAAGGGTGGGACCCTGAACTCCTCGGACACTCCAACCAAGCCAGCTCCAAAGACCCGCGGCTCGCTTTTCACTGGAAAGCCACTCCCTCGTTGCCGCCAAACAGATTCCCCGTCACGCTTCCCGGCCTATGCTTGAGGATTTTGATGTGTAAAGGTTTGGCTAGGACAAAGGATCCGTTAGGGTTTAGGGTTTAGGGAGTTTAGGGTTTAGGGTTACGGGTTTAGGGTTTAGGGAGTTTAAGATTTAGGGTTACGGGTTTAGGGTGTAGAAAGAACATCCACAGTACGGCTTGAGTGTCAGTTTCAGGTTTAGCATTCAGGGTCCGAAACCATGAACCCCTACACCCCCAAAACCCAAACTAATCAGTGGATAGTGTTTTGGGGTATGTTGCACTATCTCTTGACCCAGACCGCCGGGAGGATCCAAAAAGTAGATCCCGTAATGGGGATTCCTATAAAGTACCCTTAGTACTATGGAGCCCCAAATTAGGGGATCCACTTTCTAGATCCTCCCGGCGGGCTGGGGAGCGAAGAATTCTATGGGATCCTAAACCCTTATATAGGGTCCCCAAAAAGCACATAATCAAAAAAAATAGGAAAATAGGATAGGGACAAACCATAGAAACCCCGTTATAATGAGGCCCAAAAAGGTAGTGATATCCCTATAAACTGCCTATGCTTTTTTGGCCCCTAATTCTAAACTTCACTTCACTTCGCGGGGTACAAGGGACTCCCTGGGGTGCAAGACACAAGAGTCCGCCTAAACCCAGAGACTCCAATATCCCTCACTTAAGGAATACCTAAATATACTTTAAATTAGAGTAGGACCCCTAATATGATTTAAGGAATACCTTAACCCCAAGTATCCTACCTTTTTAAGGACGTATACAAAGAAATCATTGTAGGGCACCCTAAAAAGGTAGGTTCCCTAGGGTCCACGTATTTCTTAATTAAGGGAGATTGGAGTATTGGGGAGGAAAAGTATTCGGAATTATTTGGAAATCCACCCCTTGACACCAAAAAGCCCAGCGGCCCCTAGCTCGACCATTAAGAAAAGCCGCACTAGGATCGGATTGGCTTGGGGGGTTTAGGGTTTGGGGTTTTGGGGGGGGGTTTAGGGTTTAGGCGTTTGGGGGTTTGGGGTTGAGTTCTTGGTTCCAGGTGCAGGGTTTAGGGTTCAGGGTTGGAGGGTTTAGAGCAGTTAGCCCTTGTCTACCTGAAGCTCGATGCCCCTAAAACCCTAAACCCCCGTCCGTAATTGCATAGGAACGGCTGCTGCGATGGTTCCGGACACTGCGGCTGTTCTTCAGAGCACCTTGGATCCAAGGGCCCGAGTTTAGAACAAAATCGAAATCTAATGTAGGCCCGAAGCAATAGCATTATACAAGGGCCCCTAAACAAGATGTCTCCAACTTTTGGACCCCCAAAAAACTCAAGAAAAGTTGAATGCCGCATGACCTACAATCTATCCGCGCGTGCACGAATTAACAACAGCTTGAATTTAGTACAGGGTGCCTAATACCTAAATTCTATACAAAAAGCAATTTGGTGCAGAAGAGGGGTTACTCTTCGTAATGATCACGGCCTTGTATTGGACACAAGTCGTGGTAGATTCCTGGCGCGCCGCAGAGTTCCGTGATTTTTTGCAGGGTTCTGGGTTCAGGTTTGCAAGCCTACACCCTAAACCCTAAACCGGTTTAGGGATTGATTTTGGGCTCAGGGATCTTTGACATTCAACCTCGACCTGCATGACTTCCCAGACCCCCGGGAGGATCCCAAAAGTAGATCCCTTAATGGGGATTCCTATAAAGTACCCTTAGTAGTATAGGGCTCCAAATTAGGGGATCTACTTTCTAGATCCTCCCGAGGGTCTGGGTTCGCACGACCCTGAGCTACAATGAGAACACAGCCTCGAAAATAAGCAAACAAGCAATGCAGCAAGTCCCTGATGGATACCCCCGCCCCTTCTATCAGCGCCCTGAACCTCCTTATTGCAGAAGGGGTTCAGTGATTAATACAAATAATTTTGATAGGGTTTTGGTGCCCATTATACTATAAACATACTAAGGGACCCCCCGAAATAGTATAGGCAATTATTTGTACCTTATAAAGTATAAAGCCTGCTTCACCTCGGCCTGCCGACTGCCGAAGCAGCCAAGACTCGAATTTGCAAGCATCCCAATCTTAGCCTCACAAGCCCTACTCACACGATCATGGGACTTAGTAAGTGAGGATATAAGTAGGTTGTAAGTAGGATAACCCCACTTAGGGGACTTATACCCCCCAACTAGGGCCTACTTACTAAGTCCCATGAGCCGTTAAGTAGGGCACCACCCCGGAAGCACCGAGACCTTGACACCTCGAACACCAAAGATGTATGTGCCCCTTTTCAGTGTCCTCGCGCTCTCAGGAACCCAAAAACTTTGACTTTGGTGTTCATCAACCCCAAAAGAGGGCATGCTCAACATATTCCGGGCACTGGCTGAGGAGGCTCTCGTCCGAGCTGAGCGAAGGGCGCTTCCTTCTGGATGGTGTTAGCTTCCTATTCAAGTGCTTGGTCTTCAAGCCTTTGGGTTCGGGTTGCCGGCTTGGGTTCAAGGTGTCTGGGATCGACTAAGGTTTCTGGTCAATGGCTTGGGGGCTACAAGCTTTTCGGCTTTCAGATCACCCATGTCCAGCGAAGCCTTCATGAAACTCATATCTTTAAACTTGGAGCCCTAGGCATGCCCGACTTCATATTTGAGCAACTCATCGGGCTCCCGATCACTCTGTGGCTGGTTCATGCTAGCATGATTGCCTTTTTTCTTGTTCCTGCTGCGGTTAGGGGCGCCCTTCTTGTCGGGGGTGCCTGGGATGGTCCTGGTGCCGCAAGTTGCGGGCAGGCAAGGTACCGAAATCAAGTTGGGGAACAGCTCGAAGACACATCCCTTCAGCTCATATAGGCCATAAGCCAGACGGTTGAGGTTTGGGATGGAAAATGGGACTTAGGGTTCGGGTGTAAGGTTGAGGAACCTCTCGGCACATGGAGATCCCGAACCTGACTGTGCGTCTCAAAATTTCGCACAACGGCTCAGCAATGATAGCAGCGGTAATGGCAAGAACAGTAAGAAAAGCAAGGATAGCCAGGATACTGAGAATAAATAGCTTCTGTATCAGGAATAGCTGAAAAAGTAGGAGTTGTAAGAATAAGTGAAAAAAAACAGTACAAACCTAACTTATTTCCAAAAAAACACCATACTCCCTTTGCCTCGGAGACCTTGCCTTGAATCCTCAAGCTTGCAAAGCCCGGCAATCCCCGATTACAGCAAAGACCCCAAACCCTAAAGCCCCGAAACCCCCAAAACCCGAAACCCCCAAAACCCTAAAACCATAACATTTTAGGGTTTAGGGCTTAGGGGGTAAACCCCCAAAACCCTAAAACCTTAACCTCCCAAACCCCTAAACCCTAAACCCAGCAAAGACCTGCGACTGCTCCCGTCGCGCCGCTCGGCTGCTTGCTGTCGCCTCCTCAATGGGGTGTAAGCTTGAGGGTTCAGGGTTCAGTCTGCAGAACATGCCCACACGCTGGACCATAAGAGGAACCCGGAGAGCCCAAGAACACGTAATCAGGGAATATACCCGAAATCATAATATCAAGCCCCTCATAATTCAAGGTATGCCTGGAGGGTCGGGGGGCGTAATAAGTGGGTAACAAGTAGTCATATGTACCGTAAAAGGGACCCTGAAGTGGGGCATATTCCTTAACTAAAGAGTATTGGGGTTCTGGTATTTTTGTTGTGGGTTCAGGATGTATTGTGACAATGTGTACTTGGAAAATCAGGGGACGTAGTAATAAGGGGAGTTAATTGCGATTATGATTCTTACAAGTCTATAGAGTAACTACTTACTAAGTTCCCGGACGCCTAGTCAGGCACCGTTAGGAAGAGGAAGTCGGGCACCGTTAAGTTAGTAATCCGGAAGAACCCCTAACCTATTACTATTATTATTATTATTATTATTACTATTATAAGTATTATTATTACTGTTATTATTATTGATATTGAAGCTACTTCCAGCTTCGCCGGTTGTCGCTGGTAGAGTACGATCAGCCACTCCACTGCTATTCAGACCACCATCCATGACTATCAGTCCACGACTGCCGACCGATCCATCAGACACACTTGCCGAGGACGCATGAGTCCGCGCCCGCCAGCCGGTATTTCCATCAGACGTCGACGCGTTGGCCCGGTTAGAATCGGGCAGGTCATCCTGAACCCGAAGCCCGACGAGGCCAAACCGAACTTGTCCTCGGAGATGCGGAAGATGGGCGGTCGAGTCGCTTTGGTGTAGCAGCCCGGGTCTTTGCGGATGGTCGATTCTTAGTACCCTCCAAGTAGGGTTTAGGGCTCAGGGATTTGTGCTGGAGGATTGGAAGACCACAAAGACCAAACAGACACCCAAATCCTCCAACACAAGACCAAAAGCCCCAATCTCTAAACCCTAAGCCTAGCCCTAAACCCTAAACCCTAAGCCTAAACCCCAAACCCTACAAAGCAAGCCCACCTTCGGAGATGTCGCGCCAAGCCCTCCAGACCCGAGAGTTGCTGCTCCTGTCATCCGTCTTAGGTGTTTAGCGCTGAGGTTTAGGGAGCTGGGTTTAGGGATTAGGATTTAGGGTTTAAGGTTTAGGGTTTAAGGTTTAAGGTTTCAGGTTTAAGGTTTAGGGTTTTTCGGGAGCTGGGATTGGAGGGCTGAATTTAAACGCAAAACCCGAAGTTCTTCTTATAGACCCTGATCCTATAGCAAACTTACAGTACCCTTTAACGGAGCCTTTACACCCTACTTGTGAGCCCTGAACCCTGCAAACCGTAAACCCTAAATTGTAAACCCTTATACCCTCTTTCGGAATAGTTGACAGGAGCCCTTACACCCTCTTCTTGTAATAACCCTAAACCCTAAACCCTCATACCCTCTTCACCTTATAGACCCTAGGCCACCCTTACAAGATCCGATAGTACCCTTACAGTATCTTTTGAAGGAGCCCCGATCCCCAATTCTTCTTCTAGGTTCACGAGTAGCCCCTTTACAATAAAGGGAACTCCAGAAAGTTGGAATATGGTTTCAGGGTAGGATACCCTATATTTTACCATAAAGGGTTTAGGATAATCATATTCCAACTTTCTGGCTTTTACTTTAAGGGTACCCTTTTCCTATTATTCGGTTGTAATAAGGGGACAATGAGATAAAAATGTGCAAAAGGGTAATACTTGGGAACCTAGCAAACCCTAAACCCCTACAGATCCCGTATATAGACCCTTAAGGAGCCCTCTAAGGAGCCATGTTTGTTTTCCTAGCGCAAGGCAACTGTCCGTTGGCCCATCAACCTTGGCAGTTTCAGGCTAGAGCTACCTAACAAGGCTGCGCAAGAAGTCGCTGCCATCTTCACCTGTCTTGCACTACCGGGTTCACTCGGCGAAAAATCAATGTGTTGTCCATCCATGGTATAAGGAGCCATGTAAGGACCCTAAATCAATAAGTGTCCGTTAAAGGAGCCCTCAAAACCCCATTCTTCTTTTCGACCCCGAAACCCTAAACCCTAAACACGGTTTGGGGTTTAGGGTTTAGGGTTTAGGGTTTAGGGGTTTAGGGTTTAAGGTTTAAGGTTTAGGGCTTAAGGTTTGGGGTGAACCCTGTGGCCGTCCAGGGCAATCGCCAGCTCCACGGGCTTCCTGGCGTGGGCTTCGATGGCGATGAGCTCCGCGACGTAACCTGGGGGTTTAGGGGTTTAGGGGTTTAGGGGGTTTAGGGGTTTAGGGGGTTAAGGGGTTTAGGGGGATGAGGGTTTAACTAGGATTTAGGGTTTTGGAGCTTTGGAGGTTTAGGGTTTAGGGGTTGTTGTTTAGGGGGTTTAGGGGTTAGGGGTTTTGGGGTTCAGGCCGTTTAGGGGGTTTAGGGTTTAGGGGGTTTAGGGTTGAGGGGTTTAGAGTTTATGAAGCAAGTCAACCCTCAACACGGCACTGTCAAGTGAAAATCCCCCCGCACCAGACCACCACCGACAAACAGCTGCGACATCATTAACCACACAACAGCCTTTGAAACTGCCGCCAAACCCCCGGCCCGAAAAGCCTAAATCCACAAACCCCTCCAGCCCCTACAAATCCCCCCTAACTCCCGAACCCCTCATTCGCCTACAACTCTGCAGTTTACGACCCCGTACAATCCCTTGCATGACATGAGACCCTTATAGAACCCGTAGCCCTTAACCCTGAATCCCAAAAGCTTAAAAATCCCAAAAACCCAAACTCCCTAAACACACCAGGAAACCCATAAAACACAAAAAAAAAATCAAACCCTAAACCAACCCCCTAAACCCCCGAAGAGCCCTAAGCCTTGCAAGGTTTTAAACCCTAAACCAACCCTCAAAGAGCCCTAAAGAGCCCTAACCCTTGCAAAGCCGATTCGCCAACTTCGAAGTCGACCCAGCTTCGGTCAAACTCCCGAAGAGCATCGGCCACCCGCCTGAGAAAAGGGACTCTAACAAGGGGTTCAGGGTTCTGTTTTGGGGGGGTTTAGGGGTTTAGAGTTTAGGGGTTTAGGGTTCTTTGTTTTGGGGTTTAGGGGTTTAGGGTTTAGGGTTTGGGGTTTGGGGTTTGGGGAGGGATGGAGTGAGGAGGGAGGGAGGGGAGGGGTATTTGAGGGTTGAGGGTTCAGGGCGGGGAGGGCTGAGACATGAGGACTTAGGGCCTTGCAGTTTGGGGTTTAGGGTTGAGGGTTTTGGGCCTTAGGGCTTGTTGTTTAGGGTTTGGGGTTTGGGGTTTAAGGGCTTTGGGTTTGGGGCTGGGTTTTCGGTCTAGGGTAACGGTTCAGGGTATAGAAGTACCTTGCTTGATGGGTTCTCACAGCAACGATCATACCATGTTGAGATCTGCATTTGGATCCTGTGTTTTATGGAACTCCCATGTCTCGTGCTTACGGGCAGCCTCTGTAGCGTCCCTATGGGCCCTACTATCGACTAAATAAATACTGTTCCGGAAAAAACTTGGCAACCCACGTTGGAAACGAGTTCTAACGACCCTTCTACCGGCTAAGATAAGGTTGTCTTCAAAAGCTCTGTTTCCTGGATCTCGTGAACAGCCAGGCCGAGAGATTACGAACTGGGTCTTCTAAACACCGGCACTGTCAGTCAGCTTAAACCCTAAAATCTGTCCTGGAACGCTTGCGATATTACCAGTTTTGCGTTTAGGGTTTAAGGGAGATCAGTTCGGGCTCTGGCCCTAATTTTTGGGGGTTAGGATTTTAGTCTTAGGGTTTAGGGTTTAGGGCAGAGGTTACCTCTACATGTGAAAGCCATACTCCACTTTGAGGCGCCTGAGAACACTGTGGTTCGTGATCGGCAGCCACCTCTTCCATCCTCCAGTGCAAGAACAGGCGCGTGCACGTCGCATTTTGTAGAGTTGAGGGTTTAATGGTGCAAAGCCTACTTACAGGATCATAAGACTTTGTAAGTAGGTGGTAATTGGGGTAATAGGTCCCCCAAGTGGGGTTATCCTCATTATAACCTACTTATAATCTTACTTTCTAAGTCCCATGAGCCTCTAAGTAGGGCCTAGGGATTACATTCAAGGTTTAGGGCTCGGGGTTCAGGACTTAAGGTTCCGGGAGTGTAGAGAGGTTGAGGCTTGAGTTGCTGGATTCTCTGGACTACACAACATGGCGCTTTAAGTCATACGGTTGATGATATAAACCCTGCACTGCTTTGATGACCCTAGCCTGTGGGAATTACGGTACATTCCTTATTATGGGTAACGCAGGATTCATATCAACAGTAGTAGGCTGGTACAAACCCAAAACAATGCCTCAAGACTCCTTCTCCGAATGCCCCAAGATAGGGGCCTGAATAGTTAGAACAGGGTTTTGGGATCCAATCATTATGTAGGGGCGGTAAAGGGAGACCGTCGTTTCAAACACCTCCAAACCCCATACACAATCCTATAATACCCTAAATGCCAATGCCACTGTAGATCCCCAAACGGCGATAGAGAACCACGACGACCACGACCAGCACAACCACCAGAGACCATAGGAGTCCACCAGGAGACCACCAGGGGACCACCATGGACCAGCACGGCTAAACTGCTTCCCCCAAGTACTTAGTGGCTAGACTTAGGAGCACGGCGAAATTTACCGGCGGGATTCAAGAGCAGGAAAATGCTTCCCCTGGCGGATGCGGCAGCACGACCTAAATGCTTTCCAGGAGTGCTTGCCCAACTGGTGGGATCTCGATGTGCTTTCCCCAAAATTTCGCTGCGATTCAGGGGTTTTCGATGCCAAGGTGGCACATGTGTTGGAATTTACAATGAACCGTGGGTCTCGACTCCGGTGGATCCTTTGTAGCTACTTAAAGGCTCATGGGACTTAGTAAGTAAGGTCATAGGTAGGTTATGATTAGGATAACCCCACTTAGGGGACTTATAACCCCAGTTATAACCTAGTTACTAAGTCGCATGATCCTCTAAGTATTGGGACATGAGCTCAAACTCTGCAACGTTCCTCAGCCGGAGCCGCGGTTCGGGTAGCGGTCCAACATTGGAACCCCACAGTGTGTACAGCACCACACTGCATATGCACATATATATACATATATATATATATATATGGTATGCATATGTGTATATGTATGTGTATATATATATATATATGCATACCATTGTAACTTTTTTGTGTATATGTCAAAACCTATAGGTATATTTTATATCAATATTTTTGCGTGATTGAAGCCAAGAACCAAAACCCGACGCCAAAGCCTCGCGAGTTTCGACACCCCATCTCCTGCAAGCCGGCTGGCTGTGACGGCTGTGTACCAATGCTTCCTCGGGGCAGGGTCTGTGCTTCCTTAGAGTCTCCTGGGTATGACTAAGTACTACAAGGGCCCTACAGGGTTTTAGGCTTTAGGTTTCAGGGCTTTGGGGTTCAGGGTCGAGGCAGTACGAGTTTCAACGACATTTTTTAGAAGGGTTCTATGAGCATATGGGGTCTCCTAAGGCTCGGTGTTTCGCATCGACGAGATTCAATTTGCTTTTTTGGGCGAGTTCATGGCCGAATAAGATTTAATTTGGGCACGAGACGACAGCCATTTCCGGAATTTCGAGTCCTTTCTTCTCTCTGTCTGCCAACACTGCAAGATTCGGAGTTTGCTGGAATTCCAGGGTTGCGCCCGCACAGCTGGCAAGTCGAGACTTCATCGTTGTGGTCTCTGTTGTATGTCCATAGAAACTACACCTAAGAGTAAACTAGGAATAAAGGGGATATAAGGGAACCTAAACCCTAAAAAGGGAATAAAGATCAGGGCTCGTTGTGGGGGGCCCGGGGGTCCCCCCCCCAAGTGCTTTTTCAGAGGGGTCGAACCTCATTCGTGTGCTTTTTGACTGCTCGTACCCTGTATGGGAAGGAACTGCACCATAAAACCGTAGTAAAAAGACACAGTCGCACACGGCCGCATTGTTTTTTATCCGCGCGCAACTGCTGACCCTGCTTCGCACCTGCTGGGCCTTCAGGGTCTCGGGCTTAAGGCGTGGCTTCGGGCGCAGGTTTGGTTTCATTCGGTTTTGGACGGAAGCCCCAGCAGGTTTTTCCCCGGCAGTTGAAACTAACCCCGAAGTGAAACGAACTCTTCAGTTCTCTACCCCAGAAAACTGCACGCGTACGCCAAAAGCACGCTCAGTCTTGCAGTACAGCGTGCCAGTGCGGACTTCTATTTCGACAGGGCTCCGGCATGCTCTGGCGGTCTTAAGCTTTGAAACCGAGGGATGATATGTGTGTGAGGTCAGGGTCGGCACCGGCACCGGGACAACGAGTTCGGGGTTACAGGTTTGGGGTCGGACAGCGCTAGACTGAGCTTGCAGGCAACGCCTGTGGTGCAAGACGGTCGATGTCACAAAGCCATCCAATCAAGCGGCCGCGCTCTGTGTCTCTGCTTGGCAGATAGTGGCGGAATTGCTCGAGGACCCAGGTCCCGAACTCGTGAGGCTTGCTCTTCTTACTATGACTGCTCCAAAAGCTGACTAAATACCCAGGCGCTCGCTGGAGGAATGTCTTCCAGTCGGGCCGGCTCTTTATGAGCAGACGTTCGTTGACATCCAAGAGCGGCTGCCCCCATACCTTTTGGTGCAACCTTGGCGATTGGAATCAAAAAGCTGGTGCCAACACATGCCAACAGGGGGTGTCTCCATGCTTACAGCCTATTCTGGTTCATGTTCAGCTAGTGACTCGTGAGTGATGCTCCACCGTGTGCGCCGAGGCGCTCCAGCCAGACCTCGAAAGCTTTGGCTATGTTGGCTCGGCCCTTGTTGGTGTTGCTGAAGCTGGAGGCGGTGAAGATGGGTTTCAGCTCCGTCTCAGTTCCTTTGCATGCTGCCAACATGTTTGGCACCTCGAGCTTTCGCAGGTGCAGCCACTCAGCGAGGGCCGCCTTGGACAAATGGACTTGCACGGTGGCTGGAAGCTCTTGGACCTCGTACAAACTCGGCGGAATCTCCAGCAACACACAATCGGAGTGCACGTGCAAATTCAGCACCGGATGGAGGACGGAGCTGATGAACAGTCCAGGTGTGTCTCCAGGCGACAGCATTGTCACGTGGATCTTTCGAGTCTGTGCAGCTTTGACGGTGCAACCGGCGATGTTTCCCGTTGCCTGGGATCTGGTGCCGCCAGATTTCCTGCTTTTCTGCACGCCCCGAAATGCAGCACCTACGAGGCCCAACTTTGGCTTGGCCATGGAGTGTTCCCGGACAGCCAGCACCTGATAGCTGCGGCCACCCTCCGGTGTGAGCACGTTCGGCGGACGGAGCTCCTCGATAGCTGTCATGTGCTGGTGCCCTGACGCTGAAATCACCTGTTGGCACTCCTGGCCAAACCCAGCCCACGCTGAGAAGCGGCTGGTTCTGTGACCACTCGCCTCCATGAGCTGCCTGGCCTGCGCCAACCAGTGCTCGAGGAGCTGTGCATCATTCAGATCCGTCGACGCACCGCCCACCTGCAGACTTGAAAAAGAAATGTGTGGCCTATGTAGGAGGCTAGCGAGCTAGAGCCTGACGGGCCTGGACTTTGGACAGGAAGCCCTCGCACACGCGCGCGCGAAGGAGATGAAGCCACGACAGGGACGCTGGAGGCGCGCGATGCGAGCCAAGCAAGCACTGTCCTCTGCCTTCTTCCCGGTGCTGCCTGTGAAAGCAGACAAGCCAGCGACCCGAAGCACCTGCGAAGGAGTCTTGGGTGTGTTGGTGCCCCCCTCGTCCTTGTCTGGGCCAGCCAAACTCGTGTCCTCTGTCGCAGTGGTCTCCTCGCTGTCCATGATCCTCTGCATGTTGTCTTTGGTCACCTTCTGGAATTCCAGACAGAGCAGCTCGTTGGCAGGGTCGACATCATCCTTGGGCGGACCGAGTTTGCATGTTATTAATATGGAAACCTTCGCCGTTCCCTGGCCTCCGGCTGCAGCACGGGCTGCTCGGAAGTGTCTTCAGCGTCCTCCATGTCGGACTCATCTGGATCGTTCTCATCCGGATCGCAGTTGCCCAAGGACGCCTCGCCCGCAAACAGCTCCTTGCCGCAGCCATCCCACCACTTCTGCAGCATCTCGCGTCGAGTCGACACTGCAGGCGGCGAAGAAGGTGCAAGCCGTTCCGAGCGCTGCGGCTGCGTCGGCTGCTTGTCGCAAGGAATCCGCGGAGACGGCGTCCTTCAATCGGGTCTTCTTTGGCGCGGCTTGCTTCGTCCTTGGTGATCGGGTACTAGCAACTGTACCTTGGAGCACATGGATACCCTTATGAATCCTGGCTAGGGTTTGGTGCTGTGGACTGCGTGAGCCCCGGACTGCACGAGCCCCTTTGCCGAGAGTCTTGTACTGTTTCAAGTGGACATGATCAATCCCGACAATCGCATCCTTGACGTTTGGATTCCCCCGGTGTCCGGCTTTCACGGAAGAGAACCAGCATTCCAGGGAATGCTCCAGCGTCTTGTCCGGATGGTAAGGTGCATCCGACGGCCAGTGGGCCACGCGCACCATAGCGCATGCGCACAGCTGCACCATGGTGGCTGAGGTAGGACGAGATAGGCAGGCCCTCTCCCAGTGCACGCCATGATCCTGCTGGGCCTGAGCCACCATGAGCAAGGTCATGTAGTAGCCGGTGGCGGCACACTCGAAGATTTGCATGGTGCTCAACTTCGCGGCTGCATGCCACGGAGCTAACACCACACTGAGGACAAACTGCAGCAAGACCAGGCCTGATCCATTCCAGCAGTTGTCTGGAACTGCTCCTGCATTCAACATCCATGCAGCCTGACGATCGCTTTGCATGTCTTTTCCAAGATACGCCTCCAGCGGCGCCCTCGGGCATCCATGGAGCAAGGCTGCCGTGCAGCACCAGGCGCTGCCCACCTGCAGCACGCGCACACTGCTCCTCAGAGCCCTGCCCATGGCTTTCAGAGCATGGGGCGCATCAACCGTCATGAATAGCGCGTGTCCCTTCCAGTGCAGCGCGTTGAAAGGGAACATTCTGATGCCGAGATTCTTGGGCGCGGCGCAGTCTTGCCAGAATTGGCCACGCGGGGGCGGCTGTGTGCACAACAATGTCCGGATGGTCAGCTGGTGCGCTGGATGCGAGTCTGCGGCCACGACAAGTGGCGGCAGACCGTTGACCACTGTGCACTCTCGCAGGAGGGTGCCCAGATCCAGCAAGAGGCTGTTCGCCTGCACATCCCTGTGCCGCCGTGGCTGCACTCGCACTGCCCACAGGCCGGCATTCGTGTCCACTCGCTTGAGACACCAAAAAAGTTCCAGTTGGGCTAGATCATCTTTGCTCAACGTGGGTCTCAGCTCTGGATCAAGCAGGGGATTCGAGACACCTCCGACCACCCGACGTCCTTGCTTGGTGTTGTGAAGTAAATGGTAGCCGGCACAGAACACGGTGTCGTCGAACACCATCATGTAGTCTCGCCGACTCTCCACGCCCAACATGCCCAAGGCCTGCGCGGGGAATGTTGTTCAAATTGAAATACCATGCATGCTATGCGCAAGCTGCTTCCTTCCCTGGCATGCCTCGAGCACCACTGCAACAAGGAAGACCGTACACTGAGAGAGCCAGATCTGTCCTAACGTTTTCCTGCACTCTACCGTCACGGTTTTGCGACCTGAGGAGGCACGTGGCGCTACACTCACTTGTGCGCTCGAAGTTCTGCGCAAAGGTCGGAGAACCGCGTCGCCTCAAGAGCTCTTTTTGTGAGCAGTCAAGCAGGAGGACGGCGTGAGCCCCGTGCATGTCTCGAAGAGTTCCGAGGACCTAAGTCTACCAGGAATCTATAGTTGTCTAGCCTAGTTAGGTCCTCGGGCCTCAAGCTCCATCCATGCCAGAAGTCTAACAACCCTGCCCTGCCTCCGCGGTAGCCCCCTCGAGAATGGGCCTGCGGCACACATCCGTTCACAAGGGGCCTCTCTAATGACTTGCCCTCACATCTACGCTTTCACAGTGAACAAATACTGCGAAGGCAACTTCTCCGGCAGAAGGAGATAATCCGACCAGGTGAACCCCCGCACAGCCGCATCCGACATCCCGAGTGCACGGAGCCGCTCAATCTCCGTCCGCGCCATAGACCTTAACCGCTGTGGATCGGCGGCACTGTGAATCCGGAAGGCTGGCAGCCAATGATTGAGTGCAGGGACGTGCCTCTGATCCCACGGCTGGAACGATAGCGGAGTCAACACGCAGACCCACTCGGCGGCCTCATCGCGTGTGAGACCGCCCAAGCTGTCAGTGCCGAGAATCTCGGAGATGAACTTGAAAGCAGAGGTCTCCAGCCATTCGCCATCTGCATTGATGACCAATTTCAAGCTGACCCTGCTGGTGTACGCATACAAGACCAAGTCCGGAAGCTCCAGCCACTCCCCAGGCTTCTGTACGCTGTCTGCGTGAGCCAGGAGGCTCTCTGTGGTGTGGGTCGGCAAATCGGTCTCTGGCTGCACCTCCACATCGAGCGCCGTGGACGGTCCGCCAACCTCTGAAAATCGACAGCACATGCAAAGTCTAGCGGACTCTCTGGCGCAAGGGCCCGGCATCTGGACAAGCTGCCATCTCCGCATCGGGCACCCTGCACTGCTCAGTGGCCTGTCATGGATTCAGCAGCGAAGGAAGCCAGGCCACACCCACAGCAAGCTCTCTGCTACAAGGGTCCGGGCGTCTGAAGCAGCTGGCATCTCTGCATTGGCCACTGTGGACCGCTCAACGGCCTATCATGGATAAGGTCAGAGGCTAACGAAGCCAACGCAAGGGCCCGCACGTCTGTTGCAGCTGGCATCTCCGCATCGGACTTTCTGGAACGCTCACCAGCCTCTCATGGCTTCGCATGGATGCACCCGCTGACGACGCCAGGCACAGCAAGCTCTCTGGCGCATGGGCCCGGGCATCTGCAGCAGCTGGCACCCCAGCATCGGCCATGGCCTGTCTTGCAGGACTTGAAAAAGGTTGACGAAGCCGGACCTCCAGCAGCAAACACTCTGGCACTGGGGCCCGGGCATGTGTCGCAGCTGGCATCCCCGCATCAGGCACTGTGGACCGCTCCGTGGCCTGCCATGGTAAAGTTATATGCTGACGCAGCCCCGAAGCACTCAGCAGGCTCCCTGGCGCAAGGGCACACAACTGATGCTGCAGGGCACAACCCACAACCCCCGAACCCAAGTAACACGACACAAAGGAGGAAGCACACCTCAGGCGCCCGACGACTACCATCGGGAACCTGGCCAATCATCAATAGCAGCAATAGTTCACCGAGTACAGGCAACCGATCCCCTTTGCATGCCCCGCCTCCGCTGGCTTCTCCAGTGCCGTGGCCTGGCATGGTTGCCGAACACGAAACCACAACGGGCACCGGAACAGTTTCACGAACCTTCCCGTCGTTCGATGGGGCTGATGGAGTTGACGAGGCAGGGACCTTCACAAGGCAAACAACAACAACAAAAATTACACACAACCAAGGCCAGACCTTCAAGTGACCGTCTGAATGAAGATTGTAAAGATGAGCATGGTCTTGCGGTGGTGGGTCCTGTGCGACAGGAAGGGGAAAGCCAGAGATAGGACAACGGCTTACATCGATCCTCCATCTTGTGCTTCAAGGCGTAGTTTGTGGCTTCCGTGAAGCTGCGGCACTTCTTGTCGTCGCAAGCGATCCACGTGTCTCGGTCGAATATGCATCTCTCTCTCTCTCTCTCTCGAGGGTTGCTTGGAAGCATGCATGTCTGCGGCCGGAGTGCAGATGGGCTTGCCCTTCTGAGGGCCACTTCGCCTCTCCCCCGACTGGATGAGGCGCCATGGGCTGAGATTCGGCTTTCGAGGCATCCTAAACCGCCCTGGCGTCCGAGTTTCTTATTCTACAGTGTCCTAGCATGAACGACTCAGCCGTCTAGGCACTCAAGGATCTGCTGAGCAAAAGCATGCCAAGGGGCGAGCATGGTCGTTGGCTAGCTTCGACGCCAGCCCCCCACAAGCAGTTAGGAAAAGAACTTGAAAAGCACGTGCTTTAGGGTACTCTCCCCCCTAAGTTCTTTTTAAGGCACCCCTGATGAATAAAGGCCTACTCTGGGTCCTAGGAAATAACTTCATGACACTTGTCACTAGGATCGCCACTAGTCATGGTGGTATCGAAGAGAGCAGTCACACCAATAATCATCAAACAATTTTACGGTGACTATCACCACTAGCATTATACCAACAATAATCGAAATAATCATGCTGATCATCACCACTTTTACGACCATGTCCACGACGACACGACACGGCGAGCGACCGCTAGACCCCAGAGACTCCAATAATCCTCAATTAGGAATATACCTTAAATTCTAGTAGGACCCCTCATTTAAGGAATATTCCTTAATTCAGGAATACTGGAGTCTCTGGGAATGAGAGATCTTCTTGGATCTGCCGAGTAGCACAGCGTTTGCCAACTCCTCGCGGCTGGAGCGGAGCTGCCTGCAAAAGAGCTGAGGTTCCGGTTGATGTTTTTAATCCTGCATCACCCATAATAAGGAATAATTATAACATAGTTCCCATAGTTTAGGGCCCGTAAGGTACTGCAGGATTTATATCATCAACAGTTCCGGGCTCAGGTCTTCGAAGTAAAGGGTTTGACGGCAGTTCTTCGGTGTTTAAGCCTTTTACGGCTTTTTTCATTTGGCTTTAGGATTTTAGGGCATGAGGGTGTGTTTGCGATTGAAATGTTTTTAGGGCCGACGGTTTTGGGGTTTTCGGGTTTAAGTAAGATTTTGCAGCGACCGGCTCTGCAAGCAAGCCTTGCCTGAGTTGCATGGGTTCCTGCAGAGTCTTGCGAGTGCATTTGATCTGAGCATTCGGGCACTCATTCCTTTTCATCAGAACTTCCTTCGACATGCGCCGAAAGTGCCGAACTGTAGCGTGGGGAATGAAAAAGCTGTTGTCGGCATTGAACAGTGACAGTAGCAAAATGATACAGACTATCATGACTATCGCGCAGGATCCAAATATCAAGATACAAGTGACCATGAATGGCAGCAACAACAGAGTCGACGATCAGACTCCACTAAACCCTAAACCCTAAACCCCACCGCCCTCGAAGCATCAAACCATCACCACAACAACGAGCAGGAGACCAGCAGCAGCGTGGTTGCTACTATAGGGGTCTTAACAATTAAAAATTGGGTTTTGGGGTCCCGTTTAAAGGGGTTACTCCAAGGGCTACTATAAGGGTACTATGGTATGGGGGCCTTAATAATTAGAATAGGGTTTTGGGGGTATATTATACTGTACAGGTAGGAACCCCCAAAATAGTATACGTAATTGTTAAGGCCTCTGTATTAGTGTCCGGCCGTGGTGTGTCGTGTGGCGCTTGGCGATGTCGATCAAATGCATGTTACGATAGCCGTTCTGGGGCGACAGGTCCGGTGACAGTGATGGTGGTTGTGGTGATGCTAACAGCGAATATGATGGGGATGGTGATGGCGACGGTGACAGTGTGATGTTGTGATAATGTGATGCTGTGCTGATGTGATGGTAAGGCTGCTGGTTATTGCCAATACCGCTCCTACTATCTAGGCTGCTGCCACTACGACTGCGACTGCTGCTGCGACTGGGTCAGGAGTAGCAGTCGCAGTCGCGGTGGCAATAGCAGTAGCAGTCGCAGTGGCAGTAGCCGTCGCAGCAGTAGCAGTAACAGCAGCAGCAGCAGCAGCAGCGGTAGCGGTAGCGGTAGCGGTAGCGGTAGCGGTAGCGGTAGCGGTAGCGGTAGCGGTAGCGGTAGCGGTAGCGGTAGCGGTAGCGGTAGCGGTAGCGGTAGCGGTAGCGGTAGCGGTAGCGGTAGCGGTAGCGGTAGCGGTAGCAGCGGCTGCAGCAACATGAGCAGTAGCAGTAGCAGTCGCAGGAGCAGCAGCAGCAGCAGCAGCAGCCGCAGCCGTAGCCGTAGCCGTAGCCGTAGCCGCAGCCGCAGCTGCAGCCGCAGCTGCAGGCGCAGCCGTCGCCGTGCAGTAGCAGCAGCAGGCCACTACTATGGCTGCCAATGCTACTGCTACCACAACTGCTGCTACGACCTTTCTTTTTCTTTGGTTTCCCTGCTCGACATCTTTACTGGTAAAACCCTCAACCCAAAGCCCTAAACCGAAGGATGTAAACCCGAAGCCCTCAACCCAAAACCCGAAACCAATAGGATGTAAAACCAAAGCACTAAACCCCTAAACCGTGAAAACCTGAACGGTAGCATGTAAATCCTGAACCCTATCACCCTAAACCCTAAAATTGAATCCCAAACCCTAAATCCCAAACTGTTGGATGGGTTGGCTGAATCAAGCCGCGTGCCTGGCTTTCCCTCGCGTCGATGCGGAGAAAGCGTGAACCTGTGCGAGGCATGGATGGGTCTCACGATTCGCGATGAGGGATACCCTGGGGCCGATGTCGTTAAGCCACACGTGTTCCTAGCGCTCGAGCACAGAAGTCCGAAACCCGGAAAGGTCACGGTTTCGTGCTGCCTGATGATACACGGTTCGATCAACTGACAAGAACTACTTCAAAGAAATGAGATCAATGCAGAAAAACAACAGCAACCGCGGAAATCACGGCAAATTGCAGCATGGAATACAGCGCAGTGTCCGACGAATAGTAGTACTGCTGATGGACGGTTCTCTGCTGCCACCCATCCCCTCCAAACCCTGAATCTTCACGTTGATGTCAAACAGCTCTCGAAAAAGGCATGTGTGCGAATGGACGAAATACTGCATCACGCATGTGCTTCATCAACATTGACATTGGAGGGCGAGGAGTGTGAGCCAGTGAACGTGTCATGTTCTTCGTGATGTGAGTCATGCAGGATATTGTCCACAATAGCTCCAGGAAGAACTAGAACAGCTCACGAGTCAGGGCTCTGGAGAATTCCGCACGTATGCTGAGCACATGTACAGATCGAGCCTCACCATTGACGGCAATGGACTCGAAGTCATTGAGGCAGGCTCGCCTTACCATTCTTCCCGCAGGCGTGAAGGGTTCAGAGTTTAGGGCTTGGAGTTTGCTCTGGGATCTGGTCTTGGCGGTCCGGTGAGAGGCGAATGCAGCAGCAGAGCACACCTCTCGCTGCATGCCCTGCTACAGGTTCGTCAGCCGATCTCGAACCTCACTGCTATCACCACCACCGAAACTGCTGCCCCAGGACACGACCGACGAATCGCTGAGAATCGCAGCGAATGCCATGTCAGCTGCTTGTATCTGTCGAACGTGATGGAGCTGATCTCGAACAGCACTGCTATCACCTCCGCCTAGAGGATCACCCCACGACACAACGGATCCATCGTGAAGGATGGCAGCAAATGCCACCTTGCTCGCTTGGACTTGTCGAACATTCTTCAGCATCATGCTGGCAGCGCTACAGTGATTGTCTCCCCAAGTCACCATGGATCCATCACGCAGGATTGCAGCAAATGCTGCGTCGGTTGCCTGGATGAATTCAACGTCATCTAAGCGGTCTTGCACTGCGCCGCTGTCTCCACCAGAGCAAATATCTCCCCAGGTGACGACGGATCCGTTGCTCAGAATCGCCGCAAATGCCCGAGCCGTTGCATGGA